ACTTCTTATTCTGCTAGCTCTGCCTTAATTACTAACCCATTTCTATTAATCTAGGTATTTTCACATGGTCTTATCTTACTGAAGAAGGGTTGGGACATCTTGCTCCTTTGGCAACTACATGTCTTTTTTTGGCAAGCTTTCTCTGACTACCTTTCCCAGAATTCTCCTAGTCTCCTAGCCCTGCCTATACTTCCTGCCTGGCCAATCAGTGTTTTATTCATCAACCAATAAGAGAAATATATATATACAGAAGGACATCCTCCATCAGGGGACTTAAGACTTATACAAAGCAATTGAGAAGCCACTGGTATAACATGAAGCTAAGTAGTAAAAGAACTCAGTGTGGGCTGAACCAGTTACAGAAAAACTTGTAGGATGAAATGGGTTTGAAGACCTGTGGTCAGAACTCTGTGTGGTAGGAAAGATGGATGGTGGACTAGCCATATGTGGGCTTGGCAAATAGAGAGAATGGCAGCACCCACATTGCAGAACGCAGTGGCCAGGTCAGACCAGTAGTGGCTTGGACATTAGATACTCAAGAGAAAAGTTCAAAGTATCCCAGTATACGATGGGAAACCACTGTACATTTTCTAATGAGTGTGATGACACAATGATAACTGCCCAGAGATCTACAAGGATGACTCCAACTAAGAATCTAAGCAATAGTGGAGAGGCTACCTTAGATGCCCTTCCTGTATAATGAGATTGATGACTACCTTAAACACCATCCTAGAGTGTCTTCACTCGGAGACTGATGGAAGCAGAAGCAAAGACCCACAGCTAAGCACTGAGCTGAACTCCTGGAATCCAGTTGTAGAGAGGGAGGACATATGAGCAAAGGGGTCAAGACCAGGCTGAGGAAACCCACAGAAACAGCTGACCTGAACAAGGAGGAGCTCATGATCCCCAGACTGATAGCTGGGAAACCAGCATGGGACTGAACCAGGCCCCCTGAACATGGGTGTCAGTTAGGAGGCCTGGGCAGTCTATGGGGCCTCTTGTAGTGGAACAGTATTTATCCCTAGTGTATGAATGGACTTTGGGAGCCCATTCCACATACAGGGATACTCTCACAGCCTAGACACATGGGGCAGATTTTGATGATCCCCCATGGAAGGCCTCACCCTCCCTGGTGAGCTGAAGGGGGCTGGGATGGGGGGCTGGTGGGGACATGGGAGGATGGGAGGGAGAGGGAACTGGGATTAATATGTAAAATAAGATTGTTTTCTATTTAAATAAAAAAATCTAGGAAAAAATGAGAACTGTTCCTCAAGAGAGGGAAGGCCAGAGGGCTGGAGAGATGGCTTAGCATTTAAGAGCATCCTTTGCAGAGGCAGGCAGATCTCTGTGAGTTTGAGGCCAGCCTGGTCTACCAGAGCAAGTTCCAGGACAGCCTCCAAAGCAATACACAAAAACCCTGTCTCGAACCCCCTTTGCTTCTGGGGGTACCAGTACACAGGAGGTACATGCTCATACACTCAGTGCGGGCACACATACACATAAAAACAAAATAAATATTCTTTTTAAGAAGAGGAAGGATAGCCGGGCATTGGTGGCGCATGCCTTTAATCCCAGCACTCGGGAGGCAGAGTCGGGCGGATCTCTGTGAGTTCGAGGCCAGCCTGGTCTACAAAGTGAGTTCCAGGACAGCCTCCAAAGCCACAGAGAAACCCTGCCTCAAAAAACCAAAAAAAAAAAAAAAAGAAAGAAAGAAAAAAAAAGAAAGAAGAGGAAGGATGTAAAGGAGAAGGAATCTAGGAAACTAATGAGAAGGTCCCCTGAGCAGTCGAGGAGTGGGCGGAGATTCTGGGCTAAGCTAAGGGTAACACAACCGGCCAGGGGAGAATGAAGAAGGAGAGGAGGCGCTCCGAGGGGAGCGATGACAGAGCTAGGTGACTGGTCCTCAGTGATGAGGGAGGAAATGGGACTGAAGGGTGACTGGTGAGGTAGGAACGCAGTGTCAACGAAGCTGGAACTAGAGGTAGGGAGAGATACACAGCATCAGTTACTTTACTTTTACTTTTAGACAGAGTACCTCACAGCCAGCCCAGGCTTGCCTCTAACTCCATCTGTAGCTGAGAATGGTCCTGAATTCCTGATTCTCCAGCCTCTGTGTCAGGAGTGATCACTGTTATTTAGAACCTCTTGTAAATATTGTCAGCCTTTTTTAAAGAATAGCCCATCCCCTCCCCAGCTTCCTAACAAACAGAACTTGGGCTCACATTGGGCTCACAGGAATAGCCGATGGCAAAAAGGAAACCTTCCACAATTAGATCACTTAACCCCTCCTTCTGCAACCCTTTAACCTTGTCAACACCTGTAAGCCGCTCACCTTCAGTGGCCTGGTTACTAGGCAACAATCCCTTTCCTTTGATTACTCTGCCCTACCTAGTTTTTCCCCCACCCTAAACCACTATATAACAGGCCTGAGAAAAATAAAATCTCGCAGCTTGATCCGGAAGGTCTGTCTTGCTGTCTGTTCTTCGTGCCTCTTGTCCCATCATTCCAGGTTCCCGTGGGCTCCACCTTCCTTGTCCCCTGCTGGCCAAGCCACCTCCATCTCTTAGGTGCTGGGATTATAGACAACTACCACTATGCCTATCTTAAAACTTTTCAATTTAGCCATGTAGCTGTAGTGCATGCCTTTAATCCCTGCACGTGGAAGGCAGAGGCAGGTGGATCACTGCGAGTTCAAGGCCAGCCTGGTCTACAGAGTGAGTGCCAGGATAAGCTCCAAAGCTGCACAGAGAAACCCTGTCTCAAAAAACAAACAAACAAACAAACAAAAAATTTTCAATTTAATCGCTGGAGCTATCTGGATGGGATTTCAACTGCAGCAGGAAACTTAGATTATAGCTAAGGAATGGGGTTACACATGATGCATGTGACTTCGAGCTAACATTGGAACACAACTTCCTAGTGGATAGCTTGTATTCTTGCACACCTTGGGAGTAAGGTATTGACTGTCTTTCATTCAAGACTATGTTTCCAAGGATGCTGTTATAGCACACAGTACAAATATAGAGGTCATGCTTCCATCTAGAGATAAGAGTGAACCATGTATCCTGGCCAGGATAATGAAGAGAAATTTCCCTTCTAGAGCAAATAGCAGGAGGAGCATTTATAGGCCTGCTATAGATCACTTGACTTAAGAATGCCATCAAATAGCAGAGATTCCCCCCCATTTTTGCTGTAATTCCCCCCAATTTCCCATCAATGTATTCGGAAAATGCTTTGGTTTATTGAAACTTTCTTGTACTGTGTACTGACTAGTTTTATGTCAACTTGACACAAGCTAGAGAAAGGAGGGAGCCTCAATTGAGAAAATGCCTCTATAAGACCCATGTGTAAGGCATTTTATTAATTAGGGGTTGATGGGGGAGGGCTCAGTCCATTGTGGGTGGTGCCATCCTAGACTGGTGGTCTTAGATTCTACAAGAAAGCAGACTGAACAAGCCAGGGGAAGCAAGCTAGTGAACCTTACCTCTCCATGGCAACTGCATCAGCTGCAGCTTCCAGGTTCCTGCCCTGCTTGAGTTACTGTCCTGACTTCCTCTGATGATGGACTATGGTATGGAAGTGAAGCCAAATAAACCCTTTCCTCCCCAACTTGCTTTAGTCATGCTGTTTATCACAGCAATAGGAACCCCAACTAAGACATACTATGGCTACAGAAAGTTTCTATAATTGACTCAAAGTTGGACCATGTTATTTGGGGCAACCTGAATCCATGTCCCCAAGTATGTCATTCCTATTTGGCTCAGGAACAAGCTCTCTCTTGTTCCCTTCGAGTTGAGAGATGCTGTTTGCATTGACACAGGAGAGATGCAAGTAGACTTGACACCGCAGTTCTAACAAGGCAGGCTGACCCAACATCTTCATTCTCTCTCTCTCTCTCTCTCTCTCTCTCTCTCTCTCTCTCTCTCTCTCTCTCTCTCTCTCTCTCTCTCTCTCTCTCTCTCGCTCTCGCTCTCGCTCTCGCTCTTGCTCTCTCTCTCTGAGATTGTGTGAGCTACTGGGGAAATGATGGCTGAAAACATTGTCCTAACCCCAAGGAGCTAAAGAATGGTGGTAAATTGGGGATAAACACATCTACAAGTAGGTATTGCAGAGACCTACATGCGTAATAACTAACACATGTGCAGGACATAGAGGAGATGAGAGATGCTGAGTCTCACGGAGTGTGGGAAGACAGCAGGGAGGTAGCTGAGGAGGACAAATGTGATGGGTGTGTGTTTTCCCCTGAGGATGGAGGCCATGACTCAATCAGCTCACAGTTTGGAGGAACGGGATGGGTATATCAGGAATTAAGGTGACAAAGGGCTGGAGGGATGGCTCAGTGGTTAAAAGCAGCTGTTGGTCTTGCAAAGGACTTGGTCTTGGTCTCTAGCACCCACATGGTGGCTGGAGACATCTGTAACTCCAGTTCGAAGGGGTCCAGGGCCCTCTTCTGGTCTCTACGGTACCGCATGCACGTGAGAGACATACGGGTCAGCAAATCATTCATACACACAAAAAAGATAAGTCTCACTACCACCCCATAAAAATAATTTGCTTTTTAAGAAAAAAGGAGGAAGCTGAGCCCTGGCCAAGCAGAGCAGGACTAAGAAGAGCTCAAGGCCCTCAAAGCACTGATGTATCAAAAGGGAAACCGAGGCTTACCCTGGGGAAGAACAGGAATGAGGAATAACTGATCTCAGTTTTTCACAGTGGGGTGACAGCTTCTGGTCAGGTAGCTAGCTCAAGAACTTTCCAGATGCACAGCCTGATTCTGAAAGCAATTTCCAGGCCATCTTGAGGGTGAGCTAGGGATGGGAGGACCAGATCTCCTGGGGTACAATCCCTGGAGACTTTGGCTTAGTGAGATTGGCTCAGATCTGTGCTCAGAAATTCTGCCCTTTCAAACTTGGCTTCTTCTGTCTGACTAAAATAGCTCCCTAGCTGGGTCTCTGCCATCTAACACAAGTTCTTTGACCCGTCTTCCAGACAGCTGTTGGCTACTTTAGCTCAGAGGCACATCTGATGATGCCACTAAAATCCAACGGTAGCTTCTCACTGTCTGCCACGATGCCCTACTCCTTGACAACTCCCGGCTCTGCCCCACAACAACATGCCAGGGACCCTTGTTTAGTGGTAAGTGAAGCTGAAATGCTGGGCTGGGGGTGATTCTTACCTTCATGTCCTGGGAAGTCTTAGAAATATGTTTACATGGCTCTTTGTATTCAGTCCTGTTTAGAAAAAAAAGCGCCCCCCCAGTGTGGTTGTTTGAAAGAGAATGGCCCCCATGGGCTCATAGGGAGTGGCACCATTGGGAGGTGGGGCCTTGTTAGAGGAAGTGTGTCACTAGGGGGTGGGCTTTGAAGTCTTAGAAGCTCAAGCCAGGCCCAGTGTGACTCTCTCTTCCTGCTGCGTGTCAGTCCAGATGTGGAACTCTCAGCTACCTCCCCAGCACCACCTCTGCCTGCGTGCCACCATGATGACAATGAACTAACTTCTGAGCTATAATCCAGCCCCCTTAAATCCTTTCTGATGGGGGAAGTCCTGTGTATATGTCAATTAAGCACTGTTGGCCAATAGGGAAGCAAGATAGGTGGGACTAGGAGTCCAGGAGGACTCTGGGTAGGAGAAACACAGGAGTCAAGATATAATTGCCATAGGGATAAGAAGCCCAGAAAGTTCTCCGGTAAGAGAAATACTTAGATTAACAATTATGGGATAAATACTTAAGTCAGAGCTAGCCAGTAAGAAACAAGCAAGGCCAACAGCTTTATAATTAATATAGCCTCCTGTGTGTTCATTTGGGACTGATGCAGCTCTGGAACAGGCTGGCAGGAAGGCTTCCCTTTACACCTTTCCTTTATAAGAGTTCTGTGGTCATAGTGTCTCATAGCAGTAGAAATCATATCTTGGTTAGTGAAGGTCCAAGGTCACAGAAACTCTACTTTTATAAGCCCTAGTTATCTCCTCCAAAACACACATACCACCTTCTCACCCCCACACAATCTTCTTATTTTATCCCCCCTGCACTACTGTCTTCTCATCCTATCCCCCCTAAACACACCATCTTCTCATTTTCCCCCCACCATACACATACATACACCGTCTTTCTCTCTCCAGTCATGACTTCTCTGAGCACACCGTTCAGAAGGTCCCCACCAATGTCAATTCTTCAGCACCAGAAAGAAGCATATTTCCAGGAAAGGCAGCCATCACCCTCCTTCTCCACATTTGTGGGCTCTGAAGATGACCTGCCCCTGCCAATTTCTCCCTGCATCCTGTCATCTCCCACATGTCTGCTGCACTGCCCTGGGACCTGCCTTTTCCAGGTAATTCCAACTTACGAGTAGTGTCTAGAGGAAGAGGCGAGCCCGGGAAGCCTTGTCAAACTGACCCCGAATGAGATGTCATGGCTGCGTCTCGGAACCGCGGGCTATTGCTGTAACTGGTCACTGCTGAGTGCTCTGTAACAAAAGCATTTGGAAGACTTTTCCTTAGAGATAATGGTGTGTCGATATTAGGATAAACTACATGGAAGTGCCAATATTTGATCATCCCTGGTACGTAAAAAAAAAGAGCAATTTTACATGGGTTTATCTCATAGATTTCAGCCAGGTCAATGTGACCTGCAGGTCAGTATGGTTTCCTACGGGGAGGAAGGATTGGAATAGCTGAAGGGAACAAAAGGCGAGATCCTGGAGAGAGGGAGAGAGGGAAGGCCAGGCAGGAGCACAGTGTGCATCGCAGTGAGGCAAGTGAGCAGAAGGCTGAGCTCAGAGCCGGCAGCGGGCAGATTAACCCCTGATGGCCGCGGCTCAATGTGTGGAGAGAAGAACGCATTTCTAAGTTTTTCCTGTAGGCTTTATTTTAACAATTATAAGCAAAACCCCCACACACTTATTTTTGTCTCTTGTAGTTAAAACTAACGCGAAGAGAAGGGCTTGATTTGTTTACCTTTTGCCTTGGTGTTTTGAGATGGAGTTTCATTTGATCTGACTGAAATGTACTTGCTGCGTAGACCAGGCTGCCCTTGAACTCGCAGCCTCTTGCCTCTCAGAGTGCTGAGATTTCAGATGTCCCTGCCTGGGCCTCAGGGAGGGAGGGAGGGAGGGAGAGAAGGAAGGTGGGCAGAGTTGGCAAACAGTTTTCTATTAAGAATTTTAATAACAGGCCCTTATTGATCTCATGAATAGGCGATCACCCTTCATTTATTTTACAAGACCAGATTTTAGGGAACAACACCTCCACACAATGATTTTTTTAAAAAGGCACAATTTTTTTAATGTTTTGGAATAGTGCTTAATTGCCAGGAATGCAAGTGGAAAGAAAAAACAACAAAAAACCAAAAACGAGGTAAGATTGCTACTGAAGCCAGAAAGAAGAGAGAAAGCCTCTTACCTTATTACTGCAGTGCAAGGCAAAGACATAATTAATATAATTTACAAAGAAGTTATTGTCAAAGGGGGATGTCACTAAGCCCCACCAGCCCAATTTGTTGATCTAATTTAGCTAATAGTCACTTTGTTGTAACCACGACAAATTTGCAGGGGCCATGCCAAACATCTTCCACCAAATTCTGCAAAGGCATGCTACACACTGGTCAAGAAAAAGACTTGGAATTGCTCATCTAGAGTGGTTCTCAACCTTTAATACAATTCCTCATGATGTGGTGAGTCCCCAACCATAAGATTATTTTCATTGCTACTTCATAACCGTAAGTTGCTAGTTATGATTTGTAGTGTAAATATCAGTGTTTCCCAATGGTCTTAGGTGACTCTTCTGGAAGGGTTGTTCAACCTGCAATGGGCTGTGACCCACAGGCTGTGAACTACTGGTCTAGAGTATGACAAGAGAGCCCATGAATCTATCTAAAGTGGAAATCTACAATGACAGCTCAGATTGTCTTCAGGGCAACTGATCCATTCCAAGCAGCAGTCAGCGACACGGCATTACAAATGGTGAAGGACTAATGGCCTCTGGGGCCACTGCATCCACAGAACTCCCATTGTCCCTGTCACTTAACTTTCCCTTCACCACCCTGCTGCCCTCAAGCCTGGGCATGGGTCATTTTCACTCCTCACATACAAACCACCAGACAGCATCACCCCAGCTGTCTCTCCCACTGCTCACAAAGATGTCCTCCTGTCACCGTCAGCCCCCAAACACACTTGAATGTAGTACCAACCAATGTAGGCTGAGCAAGGCAGGGTCCTGCTTCCCCTGGAACTGGGGTGGAGGGACACCAGAGCTGATCCTATGAGGAAGTGGTTCCTTCTTCCCGGGCTGATCAGTCTAAACCCCTCCATCCATCCCTCTTTCTCCCGTTCTGTTACAGACTTACAAGCTCAAGCAAAATTTAGAGAGGACAAAATCTAAACTCTGAAGATCCTGCTGGACCCTAGGCCCTGGGATTCCAACGTATCCAGGTGGACACCCCACAGACTCAGACTCCAGACCAGAAGATGCAACAAGCAAGAGGATTTTATTCCGCATTTGCGCAAATGGGCTCCTCAGCCAGGGAAGGCAGAAAAAGGCCCGATCAGCTATTGCAAGCTCCTTTTAAAGGCAAAAACTACAAGATTATAAGACATGAGTCCATTTTTGATTGGACAAAGAAAAGGTCACATACGGTGATTTTTGGGGGAAATTCCAATTTGGTAGGGTTCGGGGAAGTGGGGGTCCTCTGTCTTCCTGGAGTGATCGCAGGATGTCCTGTTTGTTCTTATCTCAAGGAACATCTGGGTGCTTGTTGGTTTAAACCTTACTTCCTTAGCTTGTTTTTGAGCGAGGGGTCCTTCAATCCTAAGTAGTGAGTTCAAGGAGCCGGCCACTGATAGAAGATGGGGCTGGCTAGAGCCTGCACTGGCAGTTGCATGCACAATGTGGTTTTTTGTTGTTGTTGTTGTTGTTGGTGGTGGTGGTGGGTTTGTTTTTTGAGACAGGGTTTCTCTGTATTGTTTTGGAGCCTGTCCTGGAACTCACTTGGTAGACCAGGCTGGCCTTGAATGCACAGAGATCTGCCCGCCTCTGCCTCCCGAGTGCTGGGATTAAAGGCGAGCGCCACCAATGCCCAGCGCGTGGTGTGTTTTGGAATGTGCCTTTCCAGAGAAACTGAACAAGGAGGCATCATGGTGCCCTTGATTGAGTCCTTGGATGGCAAAGAGAGGGCTCTCATCTGCTACGTAATAGCCAAGAGGCCTTGGACAAGCCATCTTCCTCCTTGGACCTTCTGTCACGTCTTCATAAGGTTCCCAAATGATAATAGATGAGCATTTCTCAACATTTCTTCCTCTGGTGACATACGGCACAGTCCCCTGGCTGTCTCATGATCATGCCAGAATTTGTGGCAATCTTACGGGGCACCAAGCTGGGGCTTCCAGCTCCCCTTCCTCTTTTAAAACCCACATCCTCATTTGAAGGCCATAACAGTATGAGGAAAGAGACCATGGGTGCTTTTTAGCTTTAACACTCTCCGACCCTAAACACAAACGGATAGATTTGTAGTTGTCTGTTTCTGCATGTGGGTGTGTCCCAGCCAGCCCCCCTCAAACAATTCTGCCAGACAGAATTGAATTGAGTGACTTAAACATCACCCCCTCTATTCCTCTCTCTTATTCTGACCTTTTGCGTCCTGTCCCCTCCCACCTTTTTCTTAGTCCAAGAGGTTGGGCAGCAGGGCAGGAGCCCTCTGTGGAGCACGGAGACTCATAGCTTTAATCCACCTGCATGTGAAGCCCTTCCAGCCCTGGGGGCTGTGAGCCAGCCTGGTGACAGACCCAAAGGTCGGCTTTCCTTCCTCCTTTCAGCAATCCGCAAACAAGAATGTCCCGCAGAGGGCCAAAGCCAGATCCCCTTACACAGGGCGTAGTGGGTTCTTTGTTTCTCTCCTCCCTATATTTTGGAAGCTCCAGCAGGAATGTGGCCTGAATTTAAACACAGGGAGGCATGGCCATTAACAGTGAGCACTTTTGTAGATTCAGGCAGCCTCTTCTGCCTTCTCTCTCCCTTGGCCTTGAATGATCTGCTGTTTGCAGACAATCCCCTTGTTGTGCTCCAGAGAGCAGGCAGAGCCTAGCTCCCCCATTGTCTCTTATCTGGGCAAACAAAAGCAGGCTTCTGAGGGACAGAGCTCTGCACCGATAAAGGGCTGATTAAAGCCCCCTTTGTGGTAAAATTTCATAGGTCTGGGTTGGGCATTATATTTGATTAACCCCAGCCAGTTATTACATGGTGTTTGATAGAGATTACAGCTGTGCCCAGCGACTCTCAGCTGGGCGGAGCCGGTCTTTGAACTCCTAGGGAACCATGGGTTGAACCAACCACGAGCAAGTGGACCTTGGTGAATCTCTTCCTGGGCTCTCCCCGCTCCCTTTCAGCGGCCAGTAGTCAGTATTGCTTCCTCCCAGGGAAGCATCCAGTACGGTCCAGTTAGTGCATTCTTTCTGACAGGCAGGAAGACATCCAGTGAACTGCATCTCACAGCGCATGCCAGCGGACAGCTCTTTCTTGGAGCAGCTTGGAACAGGCGTGGTGGGCCTTAAAGGGGTGATACTCTCACGGTGTCCTCAGCTCAGAACCTCTGTTTCCCATGACTGGTTTCTCCCTGGCCCTCTTGAACACGGTAAAGTACCAAATGAGCCCCTCGGAACCTCAAGCCTGCCTGTTACTTGGTGTGCTTTACTTCCGCCTCCTTAAGGACTGATACTGAGATCGTGACCGCCCATCTGCCTGTGCTATGATACCGGGCAGGCATGGGGTGCCAGCCTTCTAAGAAGGCACCCATGGCTAATGCCGCCACTCCTGCTTCTCTTCTTGCTACTGCCTTCCCCTTCTCCGCAGTGGCGTGGACCGTGCTCTGCCTATGCGTCTTCCTGAATTTCCAGTGACTCCCTGTCCCCTGCTGCTTCTCCCTCCATCTTTGCTCCCTTGCCAGACCACCATGTGGCTGAAGAGCCTGGGCTATAACTTCCTAGACATCCGCCCATCTAATAGACTAACGGTACCAGGTCCAGATCTATACTATTTCCTGTAGTCAACCTTTCCTTGACCTCAGTGTCACAAGGGCGCAGTCAAGAATCCAAAAAGGCCAGGCATTGGTGGTGCATGCCTTTAATCTCAGCCCTCTGGGAGGCAGAGGCAGGCAGATCTCTGTGAGTTCGAGGCCAGCCAGCCTGGTCTACAGAGTGAGTTCCAGGACAGCCAAAGCTGTACAGAGAAACCCTGTCTCAAATAAATAAATAAACAAATAATTCAGAGAGGAAGCCAACATGGGTATCAGGAAAATCCATGCACCTCGCTCCACCACTCTGTGCTATAAATTAATGCTGTTTGCCATTCATCTGTGTGTCCTACAGGAGAGCAAGCAGGGATTTTCTACTTTAGTGCAGCTCCTCCTATTTGATTTTTTTAGTGATTTCAATGAATTGAACAAGCAACCTTTAAAAACAAGTTATTTTAAAAGAGCTTGGGGAGAACCTGGGTTATTCAGCAAGCCCTTGTCTCACAAAAAGAAAAGGGGCTGGAGAGAAAAGTGGGAAGTGCGTTTTCCCTTTCCCCATGAAACAGCACTTTCACAGATAACAACACTTGATTGTTGTGCTGATACGGCTATGTCAAGTTCCCATGGTTAACGTTTGCCTGGTTTTGCTTTTTTACATCTCATTTAAACGTGGTTTGACCCCCGTAGGCTCAGATATTTGAACCATTGGTCCCCGGTTGGTGGAGCTATTTGGGAAGGCTTAGGGGTGTGGCCTTGCTGGAGATGTGAGTCACTAGTGTTTGTAGTCTCCCTCCACAACCAGTTTGATTTCTCTGTTTCCCAGTTGCAACTGCAGGTGTGAGTTCTTGGCTTCCTGATCCTGTCACCAGGCCTGCTCTTTGCTGCTGTGCCCCTGCTCCATGATAGACTCTTATCTCTCTGGACTTACAAGCCCAAATAGCACCACCCCCCAATCCTATAAGGTGACTTGGTCATGGTATTTCCTCACAGCAGAACAATTTACCTAATACAGTGTCCTTTCGCTCTTTGGTGTCTATATGCCTCTTATCAACATTTATTTTCTTCCTTTTTGTCTGATAATCTTGGTCTTCTAATTCACTAAGATACTAAATTAGAACTTACTTTCACTTGCAATGACTTGATACACTTGAGGATTTGAGGATTTTTTTGATTAGCATAATTGTGCATATTTATGTAGTGTAGTGGATTATTTTGATTCAGGTATGCAATGAATATCAAGTGTAGGGAGGGTCTTTCCTGTGCCCACCAGAGATGACCACTCAGACAGACACAGGGTGTAACCAATTGAAAGTTTTTATTTCAGCCTGCTGGGACCACACCCTAGTGTCAGTGTCCTAGGTGTGACTCCCCTCCCCAGAGTCAAGAACACCGGGTTTTTAGAAGCAGAGACCACATCCTGGCATTTCACTGGGCAGCCGCAGGGGTCTTTGGGGAAGTAAGCAGTGAGCAGTTTTAACAGAAGCAGAGATAAGTGGTTAGTTGGAGGGGGCTCTGCACAGTGGTTAACTGGAGGGGGTTCTGCACAGTTTAACAGAAGCTAAGGTAGCTAGGACATCCTGACCTTTGGTTCCTACAAGAGAGTTGGGTAATTTCCTGTGTGATTCTCACTCAAGATCAAGTTCTAGTTAAACCTAAAATGGCCTCAGCTAGAACACAAGATGGAGGAACCTCTGCACTGTCCTGCCTGTCACAACTGTACAGACGAGTCCTCCAAATGGAGTGCTGAGACTTCCTGGGGAGACCCCACACACAGAGAAACACACACAAAGAGATGGAGAGACGTGTGTGCATGTGTGTGTGTGCGTGTAAGCGTGCAAATCCACATTTATACATATGTTTGTGGAGACCAAGAAGTCAACCTTGAGTGTTGTTCCTCGAAAAGTGTCCACCTTGGTTTGTGTATGTGCCTGTTGCAGGGTGTGTGTGTGTGTGTGTGTGTGTGTGTGTAGAACACTGGGTTTTGAGACAGGTCTCTTGCTGACTAGTTGGTCATGAAGTACCAGGGTCTCTCCCTAAAGCTAGGGTCATAGGCATACCCAGCTTCTTACATGGGTGCTGATGGCTCAAATTCAAGAACTCAGGTTTATGTGTCTGTCTGTCTGTCTGTCTGTCTCCCCACACACACACACACACATGCACACACAAATCCCCCACAAATATTTGGATGTGTAGCCAAGGTTAAGTAGCGGTCATGTCTATATACTGGAATGCCTCTAAGGAAAACTTTTGAGCACTCATTAGTTTAACACCATTGTTTCTCAGCATGCAGAATGTTTACATTAGCAGTTTTCTCAGTGTTTAATTCAGTGCCCCAAATACAAGCACACTGGTGACATTCTACAGGGCTTCCCCAAGAAATTGGAAGACCTGGACATAGAAAAGACCAGATAAAATTCATTTTCTGCAATAATGAAAACCACGGTTTTCTTGTTTTGTTTTTGTTTTTGTTCTGTTATAGACTCACGAAAGACAATGGATGTTGGCTTTTCTAGAAACAAAACTCTGATTAGGAAGAGCATTAGCATTAGCATTCAGCAGGAAGGTTGTGTATATAATATAGAAAACAAGATATAGTGGGCAAGACAGGTGGCTCAGCACTTAAGAGCGTTCGCTGCTCTTGCAGAGGACCCGGTCTACTTCCAGCACCCACATGGCCCGTCACAACCACCTGTCGCTCAGTTCCAGAGGATCCAAACCCTCCTCTGACATCCACACGCTCGCACACGCGCGTGCGCGCTCACACACACACACACACACACACACGTGCGCGTAAAATAAAATAATCTTTAAAGATCATAAAACGGGGGCTAGAAAGATGGCTCCATGGTTAAGAGCACTGGCTGCTCTTCCAGAGAACCCCAGTTCAATTCCCAGCAACCACATGGTGTTGGGGGAAGTCCTGTGCATTTGTCAATAAAGTACTGTTGAGCCTATAGGAAACCTAGATAGGAGGGACTAGGAGTCCAGGAGAATTCTGGGAAGGGGAAACACAAGAGAGTCAACATGTAACGCCATTGGGGGTAGGAAGCCTGGAACTATTCTCCGGTAAGAGACATACTTAGATTAACAATTATGGGGTAATTACTTAAAGCAGAGCTAGCCAGTAAGAGACAAACAAGGCCAACAGCTTCATAATGAATATAGCCTCCTGTGTGATGCGGATCTAGAACCAGGCTGGCAGGCAGAGCCCAGGCGACTGGCGGGGGATAACCAAAGCGGCTAGCAAAGAAAAAGCTTCCCTTAACAAAATGGTGTCAGAAGTGGGATCATGAATTTCCACGCAAAATAACAAAAGCTTTAAAGGAATTTTAGAAACAGAAGAACGGAGAGAAGCACAGATTTTTGGTAGCAGCATTTTTCTCAGGTGTGCTCTGTTTTGCTAGCCACAAGCTGAGATTCATGCGGCTCGCTTACTGGAGTCTTCCTGACTCGGCATAAAAAGAAAAAAAGAAAATAGAAAAAAAAACCAACAAGGTTCTTTTAAGAGACTCTGCTAATGATTGAAAGGTGTGTACGTACAGCTGGAAGTGGCAGCTTTTGCTGGATGTCAGCATGGACTGAGGCGGTAAGCTGGAGTCACGCTTACGCCCGCCATTTTGAAACGGTAGTTTAAAACAGCCGCGGTTTTACAGATAAGACACGTGGCCAGAAAAACATAAAGATTTACAGTAAAGTCAGACTTAAATGAAGAAAAACCTCTAAAGGTTTACAGTGTGTTTAAAAATATACGTGAGATTGAGAGAGAAAATGAAATGGCAAAGTGGTAAATAAATACAAAAGCCTGCGTTGTGGTGGCGCACGCCGGTAGGATTGCTCCAGAGGCAGAGGCAGGCAGGTTTCCAAAGAAACCCTGTCTCAGAGAAAAATAAATAAAAGTAAAATAAATAAAGTAATAATAAATAAATAAATAAGCCACGTAAAGATGGAAAATACACAGAGAGTCTGGATACTGTACGCTATTATGTTTTTCAGTTTTTTGCTTGCTCAGGAAGGAACTGCTACTAAAGTACACTTGATTATAAATGCTGCTAAATTAATACAACTTATATCTTTTGAAAATACCTTGACTTCAAAATTTAAGCATAAGGATATGTTACTCGGAAAAGGAGTTTTTATTTATGTTTCTACAGAAAATGAAAAGCTAAGGATTCCTTCCAGGCTTTTGTGGTTTGACGAACCAAGACCCCCGGAAGCAGTGGACCAGGTGTTCCAACAATCGAAACAGCGAAGTCTTACAGACCCCGAAAATATGGACTTATACAGGTTTCTGAGTTTTGTCATGATCCCCATGGTGTGAACAGCGCCCCCTTCCAGCAGGAAGCAGTTTAGAATGAGCGACGTCCCAATTCCCATCTTGTTTATAAATCTATGTTTTAATTTAAATGGGATTGTTTATAATTGGTTAATGATCACAGCCAATATCCTTTTAATGGTAAAAAAGGGAATTATGATATAGGTATTGTTTTTCATTTATTGATACAAATTCAAGGTCAATTTTGTGATATGTATATTTCTCCTCTTGATTAAGTATTGTGCTTATACTGATCTTTTAAAATGTAATGCGTAATTAAATACAGATTATAGATAGTTACTTATAATAGTCAGAATTTATAGTTAGGTAAGTTAGGTTTTCTAGATATACAGAAAAATATTTGAGATAGATAAACAGTCTTCAAACCTCTCAAAGACCTTCAGAAAATGGCATTTAAAATGGTTTAGGGCTTTTCTTGACAATGAGAAATGTCTGCTCCTGGCAGCACCAATTACGTCTGAGAGGAAGATGGGCATCGAAGAAACTTGTTATGGAGTTTGCTTTCAACATGGCAAGATTAGCCATTTGGGCAAGAAACTGCTCTTGCCTGTACTGCTTGACTGTTGTATAATCTGGACATGCAGGACCCACAGGAAAGTGACTGCTGAACTCAGTCTTACAGGGTTCCTGCTTCATGGAAGAGTCTAGGAGACGTTCTGCAGGACACAGAGAAATGACTGACAGACTGCCAGCGCAGATGGACAGTTTGAAATTTCCTGCTTTGCTGAGAAGTGTTCCAGACACATTGTGGCCTATGGGCTGAAGATGGATGCCCCAACGTTACAGAGGAACTTCGGGTGACTGTCCAGGCAGTAAGATACCTCTGTCAATCCTAGTGTTTATATATTATCCTTCTGTGGTCTTTGATGGAGTTGAAGACAGATAGTTATAATTATAGTTTTCCTTAGTTATGATAAAAGATAAGCTACATATAGGACTTTGTACTCACAAGGATGGGATGGATGATATTTTCTTTAAATCTTGCTAAATGTTGATAGACAAAATATTGTAACTATGTTCTTATTTGATAACTGTTCTGTTATATACAATTTGACTGTGTTAAAGTTAAGACCTTTCTTTTTGTTTAAACAGAAAAGAGGAGATGTTGGGGGAAGTCCTGTGCATTTGTCAATAAAGTACTGTTGAGCCTATAGGAAACCTAGATAGGAGGGACTAGGAGTCCAGGAGAATTCTGGGAAGGGGAAACACAAGAGAGTCAACATGTAACGCCATTGGGGGTAGGAAGCCTGGAACTATTCTCCGGTAAGAGACATACTTAGATTAACAATTATGGGGTAATTACTTAAAGCAGAGCTAGCCAGTAAGAGACAAACAAGGCCAACAGCTTCATAATGAATATAGCCTCCTGTGTGTTTATTTGGGACTGATGCAGATCTAGAACCAGGCTGGCGAGGCAGAGCCCAGGCGACTGGCGGGGGATAACCAAAGCGGCTAGCAAAGAAAAAGCTTCCCTTAACAACATGGCAGCTCACAACTGTCTGTAACTCCAGTTCATGAGGACCGAACACCCTTGACAAAACACCAATGTACAAGAAATAAAAATAAATAAATTTAAAGTATCTTCCCTAACTCAATATGAGAAAAAAATGATGTTAAAAAATCATATAATAAGAAAACTTGAAGTCATTCCTATTAGAAACATAAAATCACTCCCATTATTTTATATCAAAACAACTATGGGGCTAGGGAAGAAGAAGACAACAAATGAGATTTAAATAAAAGAAAGGTATTTACCCTGTGGGACACTCCAATCCTCTTCAATGAGGACAGCCCTGGAGAAAATGGGATTTGTTAGGCCCACAGCTAAGGAATGGGGTCTTCAGTCTGGGGCAAGTCTGAAACCAATGCTTGATAAGGATTAGAGTAGGAGTTGGTGTAGGGCTGGGCAGCCCCACACAGAAGGAAGCTCTCTGTAACTGAGAGTCAAGGGACAGAGAGTGCATCCCTGTGCCCAGCAAGCCAGCACTGAGGTGTAGAGTCTGAAGCGATTGGAACCCTTGAGCTATCACAGGCTGGAGGTTTCCAGGGTAGCTGCAGTCCACTAGGCTGGATGCAGTTTGGTGTGCTACCTCTGAAATTGTCACCTTGTAGCAGGACCCTAGTTTGGAAGTAGAGAAGAAGGCCTTTGGCTGGAGACTCTCCGAATGATGATTTGATGACCATGGACCAAAATTGGGGAAGCGATCTGGTGGTCCGTTTGTCAAGGTCAGACTATGTACTTTTAAGGCTCTGTTCTTTCAGACACATCAGATACATCCATATTTTAGAAAGATGGACTCTTAAAAAACTAGCTACAAGAAATCATATGCCATAATGTAGTTGAGGTCACCCTGCCCTTCCGGCTGCACAGGACTGACTCACTCCTCAGACAGTTTGAAGTTCAGTGTCTTCCTCAATGTTTCTGGTGAAGCCCGAGGGCAAATTCATAGTCAGTTTTAGTTGTTATTTCCAGCTTTTGCGGAACTGTTTTGGGGATAACATTGCCACTCTGTCCACGCATCCTCTGACTCTATGCGACAGGCTTAGAACCCCCTCTCGGTGAGTCCTACCACCCGCCCGCCACCGCTGAGTCATCCAAAGCCGCTTTGCATGCATACAGTAGGCTTTATTGAAGATTGGTGTGTCAAGAGGGTGACACTGCGCCCATTTCAAGAATCAGTTATCCTTGTTTTGACATCCTTCACTGCTCCGTGAGCATGTGTAGAGTTTCTCTCTGCCGGCTAGAGTTACCGAGAGAAGAAACAGAAGTAGGGTTTATCGGCAGGTGCCCTCCCCAGACAACTGAGAATGCTGAGGATTCTATGGAGTCCGAATCTGAACCCAGAACCAGTCATAACAGTGAATGCATCTAAGCTTAGTTCTTGGCAGGTGGGGACCCAAAGATCAAGAGTTTAAAGCCAACTGGGGCTACATGACACCTTGTATCAAAAAAAGAAAAAGTGGAAATTAAACTTGGCTTTCTAGGTCACGGAGGAGAATGTGACATATTTTATCTACGTGTGTATATGTGTCTGTTGGCTTTTTCTTTGTCTTTACTATTTGGCAATACGGCACGTGACCTTCTCTGTTCCTTGGGTTTTTGTCACTACCGCAAAGTGTCTGGGATACACAAAGAGAAGGAAGACACGCCTGGCTCACAGTTTCAGAGGTTTCAGAGGCTCAACTGACGTTGACCAGGAGCAGGGCAATAAATACATCAACGCAGGGGAATGTTCCCGGAGGAGGAGGCTGCTCACCACAGGGCAGCCACGAAGCAGAGAGCTGAGCCAGAGAAGAGGGATGCGAGTGAGACACGCCTTTCACAGGCAGCCCCAGGGGTCCAGTTCTTTCTGACAGGCGCTGCCCTCTAATTTCCACCAACTCCCAAGAATGCTATTAAATTATTAATCCATCAATGGACTGGCCCATTAATTAGGTCAGAGTACTCATGACCCAATCAGCTCCTCAAAACCTGTCAGCTGGCAGCAAGGCCTTTAACATAGGACCCTTGGGGAAAGGCATTTCATGCACAGACCACAACAGCCCCCTTTGTAATTTTAGCCCGCCCCCTCCTCCCTCCCTCAGGAATGTCAAGAGATTATTCACATTCTCTCCCAGGCCTCTCCCTCTCCCCTTGTCTCCCTTCCTCTCTCTGCTGGGGCTCAAACCAAGGGCTCTGCTAGTATATATAGACTCTATGCTCTACCACCCAGCGATACTCCATCTCTCAAGCAATTTTCTCTCCTTTTAATATCTTTTATGGGAGGGCACAGGTGCTATAGCGCTTGTGGAGGCTGGACTTCTCCTACCAGCTTGTGATTCTAGGGATCAAACTCAGTCAGGCTTGGCAGCAAGCGCCTTTGCCTGCTGGATCTCCCTAGCCCCTCAGAATTTTCTAAAGAAAACACGAAATCTTAATCCATCACTAAAAAGAGGCTTTTATTGTTGCTTTTAATGTTTACTTTGTTATACTTATTTTTCAGCACTCAGGGTCATTATCAGACGAGCACCTGGGACAGTCTGATGATCTGATGACCAAGAGTCTCTTGCACCCCTCAAACTTCAGCCTCCATTCTAGAGTCAACCAGGAAGGGCCTGGCATCTCACTGGCCCCTGAAGATTAGCTGCGCGGAGGATGCGTGGTCCTCTGCCAGACTGGACAGACTCAGCATGTCTTTTGTCTAAGGACTGAGTTTCCCTATCTACAGCAAGGAGTGCTAGGAATGAAATTCTTGAGGCAAACCCTGCAAGAAAGACTCAGCGGAGGCAACGAGCTTCATGTCAGCACCGATGCCTGTTAGTCTGGCTGGAAAAGGGACTCTGCAGCTGGTCGCGAGGGCCATCTGCCTCTCTCCAGAAAGGTCCGAGTGGGTTGTGTGGGGGAAAGCCTAATGTGGGATCCACACGCCGCATTAGATGCAGCTGCCCTAGGCTTGGTCACGCCTGAGTTTGCACCCTGGACCCTCGAAAGCTCTGTGCATTATGGTAATTAGCCATCTGCTTCTGTCTCTCCAGGCTGCTCACAAAAGGAAGACAGGAAGCTCCGTGTCAATAGCAGAAATTGAGGTGGGGTCCCTGGCTTCGCCCCCGTCCCTCGTGGTACAGAGTAAGCTCTAAGCCTCAGAGTCTAACTGCCATAGCCCTGAGCACGCTTCCCAGCTCTCAGCATAGCCTCCCCGCTCTTGGCATCACTCCCTGTGGATGAACAAAAAAGTTCCCCGCCAACCACCTACAGAGTCTGCACAGACTGTGAGCGTGCCTTTGCTCTCTTGGTGGAGACTAAATCACCGTTTGTTTGAGAAATGCCTTTGCCTTTGGGGACTAAGTAACTAGACATAGCATAAGTGACGTTCCCTCCCTTATCAGTTATTACCAAGATTCTAAGATTGCTCTTACATGTCTCAATATATTAGCCTTAAAAGTAGCTGATTATAGTAGGAAATATTTAGATCTTACAACCATTTTCTGGCATAGAGCTATCACAGCCGATGCACAGTTACATAGTTGTGTACTACCAAGATCTATAAATATCCGTTGGAAGAAATCGTGTCATATATAGTCATAATTCTAAAGATAACAACCTTCATTTTGTTTGTTTGGTGGATTCTTTTGTGGGACTGAGGATTGACCCAATGTTAACCTGCTAAACAATCGTTTGACCACTTAGCTACACCTGGGACCTTGGTTTTAGATACGTGGGTGTGTTCACATAGAAGGCCTTAGAGTCATAAGTACATTACTCTACTTAATTGTGCAATATGTACATGTACAGTAGCCTTTCAACACTTTCTGCAAATATATGCACAAATATTGAGCTCTGTATAAGGAGGGGTAAGCAGCATGTAAACTCAGGACTTGGAAGCTGGTTCAATTCCCAGTTCTCCACATAACACGCGCATGTTAACCATGAGAAAAGTGTGCTCTCTGTGGTGAGAAAGGTGAGCCGACTCAGGCCCTCAAGGGCATTAGCTTGGCTTGGTTGCAAGCTTTGTTAAATCTCCCATGGAGGGCAGGGAAAACATATGTGGTGTGGTAGGGACACCCAGGCATAGCAAAGAAGCCAGGAAGCAGAGGACGACATCGGGTAATGGGCACAGAAGGGGTGTAACAGTAACAGCAAAGCCAGAGGGTATAAGAGGACACTGGGGGTGGGGGTGGGGAAGACCCTGGATGCCTGGGAAGGCAGAAGGAAGAGCAGAGAAGCATGGAGGAGTTCCCTAGAGTGTGATGTTGAAGGACGCAAAAATGACATTGGGGACAAGAATAGTGGGGGCTTGGAGGTAGCTTGGTGGTAACATACTTTGTAGGCATGCACCAGGCCCCAGGCTCAACCCTCGGCATTATATACACACCGAGACCCTTAGAACTTGCCCCCACCCTGCAAGGCGTAAGTCCCATGTGCCAGAGATTGTTTGGAGCCCAGGGTAAGGGAGGTGCAGCCAAAGGGGGGCTCTGGCAGAATGGCAAGCAGGAGCCATCCTTGTGAGGAAGTGCTTTCTCCTGGGGCTAGAGCTTAGGCTGGGGTGGGGGGGTGGCGGAGGCGGGAGGGTTACAACAGGAAAATTATGATGTCAGACTTAGGTTTGAGAGAGGTCAGTTTGATAGCCGAGATACGGGAAGCTAGAAGAAGGCTGTGGCAGAGGCAACGATGACATAAAGTGAAGATCAGGAAACGAGTGATTTCTGGAGCCTGGTGGGGGTAGGACCTTGAAGGAGAAGGAGGTTTTTGGAGTGGTCGTCTGCATAGAAATGGTATGGTCTTAGAGGACAGAAAACACAGGGGGATGAGTAGCTCTGCGTGGTGGAGCCCTGTTCTGTATACCCTGCTGGGAGGCGGTTGCAGGATGTAGCTCCGGAGGCCTGTAAGGACGTTACACACCCAGGCGCAGTCTGCACCCCAGCTATTTGGAGGTGTGAGAAAAGCATGTGTGTGGGGGGGTATGCTACAAACTGTCACGTGACCTGGCCTGGCTCCTCAGACCTCTACCCTGCTGTGCTCACTGCTTGCTGGCTTGTCTCTCAGTCCTAACCCACAGACCTCCTGCTGGCTTGAAGTAGCTAAGCATACACCACTCAGACAGAGGACCTAAGATTTGCTCTCAGCACCCACATAAGGCAGCTCACAGCCAGCTCTGACCCCAGCTCTAGGGGGTCTGGCACCTTCTTCTGGTCTTCATAGGCCCCACACTCAGATGCACACACCCACATACAGACACGCATGCTCATAATTAAAATTAAACCTTTTTTGTTTGTTTTCGTTTTTCAAGGCTTTCTTTGTGTAGTCATGGCTCTCCTGGAACTCGATCTGTAGACCAGGCTGGTCTCTTAAACCTTTTTTTTTTGTTTTTTTGAGACAGGGTTTCTCTTTATTGTTTTGGAGGCTGTCCTGAAACTCACTCTGTAGACCAGGCTGGCCTCGAACTCACACTCTTAAACCTTTTTAAAAAAGTAGTTATCATTGCAAAAAAAAAAAAAGAACAATAGTTGAAGAGGAATCAGTTTTCCCAAGTGCTTTCTCTCTGCCACATGAATATAGTTTTTGTTCATTTGTTTGTTTGTGTAGCTCTGGCTGGTACAGAACTTGCTATGTATACCAGGCTGGTCTCAAACTCACAGAGATCCACCTGCCTACAAAAATACTATTTATTTCAACTTTCCTCTATTTTTATTTTATGCATATGAATGTTTTGCCTGTATGTATGCTTTTGTATTACTTGCTTGCCTGGTATCCACAGAAGCCAAACGAAGGCATTAGAATCCCTGGAACTGTAGTTACAGACAGTTGTGAGCTGTTGTGTGGGTTCAGGGAATTGAACCCAGGTCCTCTTGAAGAGCAGCCAGTGCCCCTAACCACTGAGCCATCTCTCCAGCACCAATGACTCAGGCACTGGGAGTCAGTGAGTGGCAGAGCAAGCGTGCTGCAGACTCTTTTACTAAGGAAGCTAGGCCTGCCTTTACACCCCCTCCCAAGGCTCCACTGGCTCAGGGGCTGACTCTGCTGTATGTCCTTTCCTCATTGGTGTCTCTGGGTCAGGTGTCTCTCCGTCAGCATCTCTGGGGTAGAGGCGGGCTTCGAGGCTTGGCTCAGAGAGGAAGTGCCTGCCACACATGCTCAGGCAGGCTGACCTGGGCACCTGTGGCTTGGGTAGGCTGGCTGAGGTTTCTCTTACAGTATGCAAGGGTTTTTCATATTGTGAAAAGCTCCTTCTGTTAGAATCGTGGATTTTATCAGTTGTTATTTCTCCCATAGTGTCTTTGCCTAAGGCTCAATAACTCCTTTTTGCTTCCTTCCACAACATGATGTTTTGTGTTGTAGCTTCCATAAAACTGCCATTTGCCTTTGTGATCGATTTCTATCATATTTGTGCTATATCATATATATGAGAGAGAGACTCCAATTAGACATTTCCAAAATAAAAGAATTTAGAATAGGAACTACATCACTGATCCACAAAACCCAACAATTTTGTGTGACTCAAATATGGATTACAGTTTAAAAAAATAATAAGTAGGGCTCAGAGATAGCTCAGTGGTTAGGAGCATTGGCCTGCTCTCTCCCAGGTCCTCTCTCCCAGGTCCGTTTCCCAGCACCCGCAAGGAGGGTCACAACTGTCTGGACCGCCAATCCCAAGAGAACCGATGCCCTCTGCTGGCCTCCATGGGCACTGCACACACATGGTGTGGCCATGCTAGCGGGCAAAGCACCCATACAAATGAAATGTTTAAAAATAAAATCTTGCAAAAACAGTCGAGAGTCGGCCTGGGATTATACCTGTAATCTCAGCACTTGGGAGGTAGAGACATGCCCCTTCCCATAATGCATTTGCTTTTATTCATATGCACACCCACTTGTGTATAGGCCTAGAATGGCAAATGGGGGGTTCTCCCTAAAAGATTACTAGAGGACATGGTTTTACCACACGGGACGTGCACCCAAACAAGTTCATCTCATACTATGCCTTCTCTTCTTCACAACCAGATACACCGGGAATCCGCTTGAACAGAGACTGTCCAGATTTGATTGTACTGGGGAAACGTACACCACCGTTCAGTGATAGATAGGAGTAAACGTAGCTTGATGTGTGTGTGTGTGTGTGTGTGTGTGTGTGTGTGTGTGTGTGTGTGTGTGGTACCACCATGTCCAGCTTTGAAAGTGTTCTTTAAGGCCACCCCTGGCATCACTTCCACAAAAAAACTAACCCCGTGCCACACATCACATTCAGTTGTCATGTGTGGCAAAAATTTAAGGTGTGGTGGTGGTGCACACCTTTAGTCCCAGCACTTGGGAAGCAGAGTAGGAGGATCTCCATGAGTTCAAGGCCAGCCTGGTCTACAGAAGTGAGTTCCAGGACAGCCAGAGCTACACAAAGAAAGCCTGTCTTGGGGGTGGGGGTGGGGGAATTAGAATGCAGTTTCAGTACAATCATACTGGTGCCCCTGGAACGTCCTCTGAAGGAGACAAGAATGACCTTGGAAGTTGTAATCACCAACCACACTTAAAGATAAAGCTAAAACTCAGCCAGATGTTATTGTGATAACTAAATTAGATGTGGTTCCGCCAGACAGGGAACCCAGGAAAAGAATTCCTTGAAGTCCAAAGGTCTTTAGAATTACCATGAAGATATTTGTATATCTAAGACACTTAACAGAGCCAGGCATTGGTGGCACACGCCTTTAATCCCAGCACTCGGGAGGCAGAGGCTGGCGGATCTCTGTGAGTTCGAGGCCAGCCTGGTCTACAGAGCGAGTTCCAGGACAGCCTCCAAAACAATACAGAGAAACCCTGTCTCGGAAAACTGAAAAAAACAAACAAAAAGACACTTAAACTTTCCCCGGCGTATTGGAATCAACTAACAAACAGTTGGAGTGCACACTTCTAGAATATCTAGAGCAGTGTTTCTCAACCTTCCAATGCTGTGACCTTTCAACCATAGGATTATTTTGCTGCTACCTCATAACTATAATTTTGCTGCTGTTATGAATTGTGATATAAATATCTAATATACAGGGTATCTGATATGTGACCCCTGTGAAAGGGTTGTTCCACCCCCAAAGAGGTCGCAACCCACAGGTTGAGAACCACTGTTCTAGAAGGTTCCAATAGAGTCCCTAATAACAAATGGAACTAGGTAAAAGCCTTTCTAGGATCCAAAAGCTACAGCCCTTCAATCCCTAAGACGCTAATTAATAAACAACCTTGCCAAAATACACAAGGAAAGGAAGACCAACACCGTTTAGGATGGAGTATTTGTTTCTTTAGTGAGTGAGGCATGGTTACTGATAGTTGCACATGGATTAAAAAAAAGTCAAATGAAAATATTAGAAACAATCTGCACATTTTTCAGTTGCGTTCAAGAATTTGGGTATTTCACATGCTAATACAGAACAAATAAAAAGATGTCATGGAGATGGTTTAGACTTGTGACTTCAGACTGACATTTTACTGTTTGTTCACAATGTTGGGACAGTCAAAGGAAGATAAAAATTCTCCATTTTTAGTAGTTTAATTTTTATTAGGTTTACAAGACTTAAGATCTTTGGTGCTGTTTATGAGACAATATCATCTCTTGAGACAGAATCCATTAA